AACTGAAATTTTAAGGGAAAAGGTCGAATTAGGCAATTAAAATATGTATCTAATATGCCTTAGAAGGAACTGGCTGCGGCTGTAATTGATTTATTACCCAGCTAACGTTTTAAATCCAAGAGCTAATCCCCTACCTGTGTCCATTCCGCTTTATAATTTAACTTTTAATTTTATTTGAGGATAGTTGACACAATGTTACGTTGGTTTCAGGTGTACAACATAGTGAGTCAACATCCCTATCATGCCATGCTCACCGCAGGTGTGGCTACCATCTGTCATGGTACAACGCTATTACACAATTCTGCTTTCCTTTCCAGGTTAGGTTCCATGTTTTTTTGATAAGGTTAAGTTTGAAGCACCAACAAATTTTAAAAGCTTCACAGCCTGGGATGAAGCCTAATTCACAGTTAAGGAGAGAACTTAATTGAAAAGCTATGGACTTTGGTCAAGTGGTAGATTTTAACCCAGACAAGAGCGGCCTTTTAATATGCTAGACTATTTTATTACCTTTACAAAGAGAAGTGTATGACTTATGAAGTCCTCCCAGGGTGATGATTCAAAGACCTTTAGGACATATATGGGATAATGTGCTCCAATTTTCTGACATTAAAGACAAGTTATAATCTCCCACAAGGAGGGAAAGGTATGTGCTGAGACTACATAAATTAGTTTATCTTTCAGACCATGAATTGGCTCAAATATAGATGATTTTGTGCTTGGGTAAACAGAGGCTTGAAGGGAAATTTCTAGTCCTAGTTTCATTATTTATATTAAAAAAAAACTTTACATTCTGTAACTTAGCTTCTTCAATTGTTAGACATAAATATAAACCACATTCTATTTTTTTTTTCTGGGTTTCAGATTTCCAATAAACAGTTTCTGAAATAAAGCAGTTTTTTTTTGCAGATATTTGAAGCCAAAAAATTACATATTTCTTAAATATTTTTATGATGGTCTAATGATACTTTAGAAAGTAAATTTGAAGTATTTTTTTGCTTTTAGTTTTTTTAAGATTTTATTTATTTATTTGACAGCAAGAGACACAGCAAGAGAGGAAACACAAGCAGGGGGAGGGGGAGAGGGAGAAGCAGGCTTCCTGAGGAGCTTAGAGCCCAATGGGCTTGAGTCGAAGGCAGATGTCTAACGACTGAGCCACCGCGGTGCCCCATTGTTTCACTTTTAATTAAGTGGAATGAATATATTTGAGCAGGGCATTTAATATTTCTATTGATTCTACGCTTTCAAAAGAGTCTGAAACTTTTTTTTTTTTTTTTTAAGTAAATCTCTACACCCAATGTGGGGCTCTAACAACCCTGAGATCAAGAATTGTATGCTCTGCCAACTGAGCCAGCCGGGTGCCCCAAAATATTTGAAACTTTTATGTTGAAGAACTGTTCTAATTTTTATCGTCTCTTCTACAATTTACCTGACAACAGGACTGTTGTAATATTTTAAAAATATTTTTTACATTAGAAAATATTATTTGTAGATTTAGGAATTTGAAATTTTTACTGACTGGAAGGAAAGAAAACTAGTCACAACTAAAAATATAATTAACAAAATATAGCTGTGAATCATCTGAACAGAAATCACACTGATATACCATAATTATTTTTTTAGAAAAGATAGACTTCAGTTCATATTGTACATTTGTATTATATATAGTAGGAACACTTGTTAAGAATTTAATCAAATTAGAGAATTTTGAGTAATATACTTTTTAAATATAGCACTTAAAACACTTCTATTCATTTTTTTTCTGAAAACATCCCTTTAATTTTTTTTTAAAGATTTTATTTATTTATTTGACAGAGAGAGATCGTAAGTAGACAGAGAGGCAGGCAGAGAGAGAGAGAGAGGGAAGCAGGCTCCCTGCTGAGCAGAGAGCCCGATGCGGGACTCGATCCCAGGACCCTGAGATCATGACCCGAGCCGAAGGCAGCGGCTTAACCCACTGAGCCACCCAGGCGCCCCCCTTTAATTTTTTTTTAAAACTAATTTCAAAAGATCCAAAGAAGGAAACACAGTTCTATGAAATGTTACTACTTGAGTATAAATATATTTTGAATTTGTGAAATAAGAAAAAAGTCATAAAAAAGGAATATAATACTCGTGTTAGGATTATAACTTATTTTCTTAAGTGTTAACTGAAAATAACTTCCTTTAAAATGGAATGCCAATGCAACATATTTTAAGAAAAAAGATAAAAGTGTAATGTATTTAGAGCAAAACAAATTAAAATTTCAAGGAAAAATGAAACATTGAACTAGGGAATTAAAAACAACAAACTATATCTATTTCTTAGAAGGAACTAGTTATCAACTGACCTCTGAAAATACTTAGAAGAATTGCCTACAGCAGGTATTGAATTCAATTTGTTACTGTTAGCTAAGATAAATTGCCTGCATGGCTTGAACCATGGGAACCATGGACAGCATGTTCTGCCAACTAGGAACTGAATTTACTCTTTAAAACCAACTCTCCAGGGGCGCCCGGGTGGCTCAGTGGGTTAAAGCCTCTGCCTTCAGCTCAGGTCATGATCTCAGGGTCCTGGGATCGAGCCCCACATCGGGCTCTCTGCTCAGCGGGAAGCCTGCTTCCTCCTCTCTCTCTCTGTCTACTTGTGATTTCTGTCTGTCAAATAAATAAATAAAATCTTTAAAAAAAAAAAAACAAAAAACCAACTCTCCAATGCATTTAAGATTATCTCCACTTTGACTTTTGTCTCCAGATGAGCTGAGATAGAAGGTTTTCATCTTTCCTAGACCTTTTTTCCCTAATCCCCTCATACCTTCTTCATGAAAGTAAATATTTTGGATTTTTTTTTTTTTTTGATAAGGTTAACTTTGGAGCACCATAAACTGAGATTTAAGATTATATCTAAGATTTTTTTGCTCCACCACACTGGGGGCCATATCGCTCCACTGAGAAAATACAACCTAAATGACACTTATAGGGTGTATTCCTATAGAAATCTTTGTTTGGACAGTTTGCACTATGCCAACTTCAGATTTGTAATACACTTTTCTTGAACCCAACCATGGAACACCAAGAGGTCTCTTTGTCGATATAACTGTCACTACAATAGCGTTCTAGACAAGAACGGTCTAATTGTGCTCAGCACTCTTCATGTGTGCTTAATTAGTGAACTAATTTCCAGCATATACATGCTTTATCAGCACTTTCTTTCTCTAGTTCACATAGATACCCATCTATCTGTTCACCTAGTCATTTAACGTTTAAGTGCCTATTACATGTTAAGGCAATGGGTATGCAATGATGAGATTAAGTCTACCCTCATGGAATTTACAATGTAGTCCAACTTGTTCCTTCTTCTCCCTTTTCTCCTAAATACAGATTCCAACCATTATTGGTGCCATGGGCAAAATGTTGAGGCTGCAAAAATTCCTTTGCAGGGGCGCCTGGTGGCTCAGTGGGTTAAAGCCTCTGCCTTTGGCTCAGGTCTCCTGGGGTCGAGCCCTGCAACGAGCTCTGCTCAGCTGCAAGCCTGCTTCCCTTCCTCTCTCTCTGCCTACTTGTGATCTCTCGAGTGTCAAATCAATAAATAAAATCTTTAAAAAAAAATTCCTTTGGAAATGCCTGATCTAGGTATTTTCCTAATCACGGTTTGTTTTGTTTTGTTTTGTTTGTTTTAGATTTATTTATTTTTTGTAGAGTGGGAGAGAGCATGCACACAGTGGGGAGGAGCAGGGGGAGAGGGAAAGGGAGTCTTAAGAAGGAGACTCTGGGCTGAGAGACTACAATGCAGACCTCAACCTGGACGGTGAGATGAGGACCTGAGAGGAAACCATGAGTCGGAGGCTTACCGGCCTACCCATCCAGAGGCCCCTTGACATCTTCCTGATCACTTTTAATGATTTTGCCATGGAAGCATCCCATCAACTTACTGGAGAAGCATGGCATAGTGAAAAGAGTTGGTACTTAGAAGGCAGGTGGCTGTGGTCTTTATTTTCTTTCTGTGAGGCTACAGACTTATTTCAGCTGTGGGAGCCGTTTCACTCTTTCATAAAAGGGATATAACCACATTACAGGGTTGTTGTGTGGCTGTAAGTTAAAATATTTTATACAGAACCTGGTCAGCGTATCATACAAAGTAACTGCACTTTTTAAACACCTCTGTGTGAGATTTAGAAAAAACCTTTTCCTACAGTTAACACCGTGAGTTGCAAAAACAAAAACCTAAGACAAAGAGACAATTATTTTTAGTTTCGTATTCAATCATAAAATGCCCGACTTTCGTTATGCATCTTCTTTTGAATCTTTACCTACATAACTTAGGGTAAGAGTCTCGGAGCCTTAAAGTGCAACTCAACTATAATACAGATAACCGTTAGCCTCATTCAACTAATTTTGAATATGCGGGTTTTTTGTTTTTTTTTTTTTTTTAGTTTTAACTGATCATTAATGGGTTTTTAACACACCATTAACCCAGCTTTCACAAATTTAAATAACGGCGATCATTCACAGCTGAAGTCAGATGAGTACGCCACCGAGGGGCAGGTGTCTGAATCAAAGGGCGGCTTTACATTCAAATAAACTCTGGCTTCCTCCTTCCGTTGGAGATCAACAGGCAGGTGAACTAACTAGACCTCCAGTTTACTCAAGCCACTTCGATTTCATCCACACCACTTCCTCCTTCCTCCTGGAACCCACCCCAGGCGCTAAATCAGGCAGTTCACCCAAGTGGCCTCCCTTCCCTCCTCTGGGGTCCACAAAGCCACCCACACGTGGAGCGGCCTCCAGCCGACCTCGGAAACTCCGGCGACCTGACCTACGGCGGTTCGCGGTTGCGGATTGGGGAACCGGGGAGGGTGGGACGCGTCGCCGGAAGTGACGTAAGCCGGAAGCGGCTTTCAGCAGGGAAATTGGGGGCGCGGTTTTGAAACGAGGTCTGAAGGCTGAACGTGAGTGAACAGAAGCCTGAAGTCAAGTCTGTTTTCCAGGCGGGTTCACAACGGATTGGATTGTCAATTTTTTTTTTTTTTTTTAAACCTGTGTATTCTCTGCCACACGGGGGACATGACCTCACAGTGATTTCCGTGAGCGTCTCTCAAGAAGCACCAGAGGCGGCTATGGTGGAGGCGAGGAAGCGGCCCTAAACTGGCAATGCCGGAGAAAGCGTGGATGTACCTCCGCAATCCCGAGTTTAACTTGGAAAGAGCGGCGCGATTTTCCCGGCCATCTGGTGGTCCCGGAGCGTGTGGGTGGTTGCCCATTGCCAAGACGCTGCTCACTGTTAATTCGGAAAGAGAAAAGTCACCGTTTTCCCACATTTTTCTTGGAGGATAAAACAATAGGAAAAATGTCCATGTTCCCTAAAATATCGTTGAGACATGAGGTTGAAAAGTATCTGAAAGAGGGTTTTGTGAATAAGGAGGTAGGTCAAACCTGTTATATGATGCTTGCAAAAATTCAATGTTTACACACGCTGGAGAAATAGGAAAAAAAAAAAGGAAAACCAAAAAAGCCTAGAGCGAGACCTAATCTTTACACGGTTGTTTCTTATTACTCTTTTTGGAATGTGAAAACTGCCAGTATCTTCTTGCGGGCATTTAATGCTTTCGAGATAGGAGGTGAATGAGGTCTATGTTTCAACACTTAACGAATGTGAACAGAAGGGAAGGGAAAAGAGCGGTTATGTGAGTGTCAGTAGGCATGGCACTGATGGGGTTACAAGAATGAGGGGAAAAGATTCCTGTTCTTGAGAATTTAAGTCCAGTGGAGAAGATACACCCGTGTTCTTAGAGCGCTTGCTGTGGTTCTCAGGTGAAAGGGATACTATAATGTGTTAATGCCTCTTAAATGCCGCTAGTTGTGCTAGCTGATTTGCAGACCTTTACATCTTAATATTAGAAATTTCTTTTTTGCGGGGGGGGGGGGGGGGTAGAGATTTCTTCTGCATTTTAATAGGTGAGAGAGCTGAGGGTCCAAAGAGTCCTGTAGCTGACCCAGATTGACACCGCTATCAAATAATAGGGCTGAAATCTGAAGCTGAAGAGCTCAGATACAGTGAAAAAATACAGATTTGGCATCCCAGGTCCTTGATGGGTGCCCCTGTGCTTTGAGTAAATTATTTCATACCGTTTAACCTTGATATCCTTTTCTGTGGAAACTGAGGATGTTAAAAATATTTACCTTACACGGTTATTTTAAAATATTAACCGTAAGTGAATGCAGCTGGTATTGTTCTGGTACATTAGTCCTCAATAAATACTCATTCCACGTAGTGTGAGCAGTAGCTGGCACAGAAGTCCTCAGTGAATGTTGTCTTTGTCAGGCTTGTGCTCTTTACATTTTACTTCGTGCCTCTAGGCAACTTTGTATTTTCTAAATCTTTGCTTTTCTTATTCAGAGTAAAATCTAAGACTTAAATGTGATTCGTGTATGAAGATAACTACTGAAGCTATGACTTCTTAGATTTGATTCCTACATTTTATTTCCAAAGATTAGATTAAGGGATTAGAGAGTATGGAAAGAGAAAATACCTTCTCTTGACTTCAAAGAGCTAAAAATCTAAGGAGCATATTAAGAGAAATAGAGGCATTCAGCAATTTTTCTTAACTATTTTTAAAATGGTAAATATTGTATTATAGAAGATCCAAATATCTGTCTCTGACACCATCTCTGTCTCAAGCCCGCTAACTGTAAATGATTTTAGAAAAAACCATTCCTTTGTATAAGTATTGGAAGTAAAGGTATATTCAGTTTTAATAAAAACAAACTAAACTTGAGAAAGTACTAATACTTTGAGGCTGGTGGATGAGTACTCTGGCAGGTAGTTTAAGAAGATGCTGTGAAGCAGGGTACAGTCAAAGATGACAAAAATGGGAAAATACGTGTCTCCCAAAGCTTCAGTTAATCACAGGGGAACTTGGTTTTTGTTTTTGTTTTTATCTTTAAACCTCCATTTCTGACAGGTTATTTTTGCTACCTGTCTTTTTGGGTGATATTTGTTACATTTTAAAAATACCATATTCGAAAGCTGATGTGGATGACCTTTAGATGACAGTATCAATATCAGTATCAGTATCAGTATTCAAATATTGGTGTTTTCAAAGGCTGCTAATGAATTTGTTCTAGGTATGAGGCTAGCAAGTACGTAGCTCTACAGAACGATATAATATTTGGTATATTATAAATAGAATAAAATCATGAATTTATATGAATAAGCATAGCAGACATTAATATGTTCAAAATGTTAATAATGCTTTGAAGTTGAGGCAGTTTTTTCCAAGCTCTTTATGTTGGGCATTTTGTTAGGTGTTTATTACCACTATTAAACCCCAAAACCCTGTGAAGTATTACATTTGGTTAGTGTTACTAACATGCAACTAATATAGCAAAATGAAATGGAACTGAACAATTGCTGAAAGATGTTTCATTAGTTGGGTATGCATAATCTACTTAATATTTTTAGTTAATTCTTATAGTGACATTGAAACATTAACGTGTTGTTTTCCTCTTTTCAGGTTGTATCTGCTTTTGGAAAACAAGAAGCAGAAAGGAAATTTGAAACTCTGTTAAATCGCTTGTCACATCCTCCATCATTCACAACAGTAAGAGTAAATACACACCTAGCCTCAGTGCAACATGTGAAAGATCTGTTGTTTGATGAACTTCAGAAGGTATGCGCAAATTTTCTATGTCATTATATCCATAATTGCATTTCTACAGTCTTGTGGAATGTTGTAGAATGTTGCTCTCCAACATGGAGCCCGATCCCAGGACTCCAGGACCATGACCTGAGTGGACGCTTAACTGACTGGACCACCCAGGCACCCCTACATTTCAGATTTCTTAGTAGCCATCTGTTAGGTAAGGTTGGTCTGAAATCTCCTTTGCCTGGAAGAAGCAAAAGTCAGGAGAGTTCTTGAGATGGTAGAAATATAGATTGCTAAAATACAAATTTTTTCTCTCATCAACTTGGAAATAAATTGATTTTTTTTTTAAATTTTATTTTTTATAAACATATAATATATTTTTTCCCCCAGGGGTACAGGTCTGTGAATCGCCAGGTTTACACACTTCACAGCACTCACCATAGCACATACCCTCCCCAATGTCCATAACCCTACCACCCCGAACCCCCCTCCCCCCAGCAACCCTCAGTTTGTTTTGTGAGATTAAGAGTCACTTATGGTTTATCTCCCTCCCAATCCCATCTTGCTTCATTTACTCTTCTCCTACCCCTTTAGTCCCCCATGTTGTATCTCCTCTCCCTCATATCAGGGAGATCGTATGATAATTGTCTTTCTCCGATTGACTTACTTCGCTAAGCATGATACCCTCTAGTTCCATCCACGTTGTCGCAAATGGCAAGATTTCATTTCTTTTGATGGCTGCATAGTATTCCATTGTGTATATATACCACATCTTCTTTATCCATTCATCTGTTGATGGACATCTAGGTTCTTTCCATAGTTTGGCTATTGTAGACGTTGGTACTATAAACATTCAGGTGCACGTGCCCCTTCGGATCACTACGTTTGTATCTTTAGGGTAAATACCCAGCAGTGCAATTGCTGAGTCATAGGGTAGTTCTAGTTTCAACATTTTGAGGAACCTCCATGCTGTGGAAATAAATTGATTTTTAAGAGTTTATCTAGGTAGTATATGGATGCCACAGGGCAATGGAAATACCTATTATTGTTACTGTTCTTTCATATAGTATGTGAAAATTCATGATTTAAAATTCCTGGCCTACATGGCCGAGACTTGTTCTGAAATACTTGCATGTTGCTCCCCTAAGACTGTAGTATCCTTGCTATCCCTTCCACTATTCTGCTCTTTATTCTGATGAGTGTAATGCCCAGTTATTTTCTTCTGCAATAGTAGTGTTCTGGTACATATTGAAAAACCCACCTTCTGAGAAAAACAACCCTTTGTAGCATTTGCTGATTTCAGCGGTGTAAATACTCTCACTGCTGTCAATTTCAGGCTACCAGTGTGACCTTGAAATTGGACAGAGATGCACATAGTTGGTTCTCCTGAGACTGTGTGAGTTGGCCTTGACACCTACACTCCTGGTCATGCACCCATTTCCAGTTTGAAGACCAAGTATGATAGAGGATACTGAAAATCCTGAACTTTTTGCCAAAAAGCATTTATTTCCCTTAGCGAAACTGACATGGCATTCAGTATTGGTGGTGTTTAATAAATAGTATTTAATCATCTCAAACCTTAATGTCCTATTCAGAATGTTTCCTTAAAAGAGTATGATGTGCAATTCTATATTGGTTATGTGTTTTCAAAATAAGTCACCTAAGGTAAACATGGGTTGTCTTTATAAAGCCAACTGTAAACAAAATTGAACCTTATAAAGAAATCGAGATACTTCAGAATAAAACACAGAGAAAACATAATTGTTTTGAAGTCTTTGTCTTTTATAGTATTATGTGGAATAAAGCAACAATATCCTAAACCAAGCTTCATGCTCTGCTAGGTAATGACAATGAAAAGAACTGTAAGTTGAAATCTATCAATTATATTGATGGCTTCATAATTCTGTTTGTTTATTTTTAACAGCAGTTTAATGGATTAAATGTTCCTATTCTTCAACATCCAGACCTTCAGGATGTCTTACTTATTCCTGTTATTGGACCTAGGTTTGTAATTATTTTATTTTCAAATGAAATTTTTCTAAAAATTTGTCATAGGTTTTTTTTCTTACTGTTTGGTGATACAAAGTTTCTCTATTATTAGCAATTTCATATAGACAGACAATTCACAAATTCATAAATGCAACTTCGTATTCTGTCTTAGAAGATATTATAAAAGAGTAGGAATGGGTCCAGATACCTTGAAAGTAATGCCTTTGGGTCCATTTGGTGCAGTGATTGGTGGCTTTTCCCTCCTACTTAGTAAGAAACTTCATTTGTTTACTTATATGTATTAAGAGGTTCCAAGGCTAATTTAAAACTTTTTTTGAGCTGCCACAAAAATACATAACATTTTTCCTGCTTTCCTAGTTAATGTGTTTGTAAAATTTTATTCATTAATTCACAGTTACTTTGATTTACAATGTATGTTCTATGAGTAGAATAGGCATTGTTCTCATTTATGTATTTGGAAGACATATGTTTGAAAACTGGTTGGGGGGAAGTTTCATATTTTAATGGGAATAATGGGAGTTCAACTTCCAAGGAGTATTTTTAAATCCCTAATTGTGGTTTAATTTTTTATACCCCTAAGAAAGATATTAAATAGAAAAATGCTCATTTTGTTAAAGCTTGAGAGTAATTGAGTGGTCAGTAAAGCCGTAGTTCAGTAAATTATGGTTTATCGTCCATTGGAATATTATATGGGCTTTAATGAGGAAGAGTTATATGTACCAGTAAGAGAAGATAGTCACAATTAAGTATCAAAAAGAGATTGTTATGTATGGGATAATTACACTTTTTTTTTGCAATTACAAAAAACAACACATTTATGTATATTTACTTATATACAGAAAAAGGTCCAAAGGCTTTAACATACCCAGCTATTAATAGAGGTTAATTTTGAGTGGTTAACTCTGAAGAGTTTGGATTGGGAGAGAAGGGGTAAGAGATTTTCATTTGTAACATTTCTGTGTTATTTTTACTATAAGCATGTATTCCTTTGGCAATTAAAAAAAGATTTTGTGAGTTCCTTATTCTGTTTTTTAAGATGAACTCTGTAGACTCTATGAAATGAAGAGATTTTAATTAAGTGTACTTTGCTGAATTTCCCCACATTTGTATAGCTGTGTAGCCAAGACCTATCCCAATCAAGGTAGAAAGAAGTCCATAATTCTCCCTAATACTATATAATTCATTTCATTCTTTTTATTTTATTTATTTATTTATTTTTATGTGTTTTAAAGATTTTTATTTATTTGACACAGGGAGAGAGAGATCACAAGTAGGCGGAGAGGCAGGCAGAGAGAGAGCAGGGGGGCGGGGGAGCAGGCTCCCTGCTGAGCAGAGAGCTCTATGCGGGGCTTGATCTCAGGACCCTGAGATCATGACCTGAGCCGAAGGCAGAGGCTTGACCCACTCAGGTGCCCCTTTATTTTTTAAAAAATATTTTATTTATTTGCGAGATAGCACATGAATGGGTTGTGGAGCAGAGGAGAAGTAGAAGCAGGCTCCCCATAGTGGGAGCCGGACTCTGGGCTCAGTGCCAGGAGCCTGGGATCCTGACCTGAGCCGAAGGCAAACACTTAACCAACTGAGCCACCCAGTTGGCCCTATTTCATTCTTTTTAATATGTGCATACTTTTCAAACATTTATTCATCCCTGTAATATAAATAGGCATTTATTTTTTTTCCTGTTTTTCATTATTAACAACAGTAAATATTCTAAGGATGTTTCTTTGTAAACTTGCGTAAGCAGGTCTACAGGATAAACTGGTACAGCATAGAATCATTGGTTCATTGGACTGTGCATATTTTAGTTTTAATGCTTTCTATAAAGTTTTACCATTTAATGTTTCTAGCAGTATATGAGAGAGTCTCAGTCTTTCATTCTCACTAATACTGGCCATGCTAGTTCTTTTGAAGTATTTAGATGATTTAACTTTATTTTCTGAACCTAGTACCCTTTCATCCTATTTTTTGTAGTGATCTAGACACTTATTAGAACGTTAGTGAATTATAAGACACAAATGATGGGTTATGACAGGAAAGTTCAAAAATCATTTAGGATTATAGATTTGCATACCTACTATTCACTTCTAAAAGGAGCAAATCAGTTCTTTTTTGTTTTTAAAACTCATTATCACTATTATTATTATATTCCTTTCCATTATGAAAAATGAGGAAGTTCTTACACTTAATTTTTTAAAAATCTTACACTTAAATTTTATCCCCTAAAACATCCACCAGCCAATTTTTATTTACTGTGTTAGTTCTTTAAGCATTGCACAGGCTTATAACATTGTTATTCTAGAAGCACAATTCAAATGAATGCTGTGCTTAACTTTTAGTCCTAATAGTTCATTCCTGAGTTCTTTGTCTTGATTACTCTTGGTTGGTGATCTTAGTCATTTATCAGGTCTGCAGCACCTGTTTCCCGTCTCCAAAGTAAGTATTCTCATCTCCAAAGTATTTACACTCTTGCTTCAGAATTGCCTGTTGCCTTTATATTTAAACAATAGATCGGCCAATTATAGTACTTTCAGGTCCTATATTATTTCCCTTAGCACTTTGTAGACATTGCTTTCGGAATGTTATGTCATCAAGTGTTGCTGTGAAAAAAATCAGAGGCCCCAGCGAACAGCATCTTAATTTTTGCTTGGAGATCTACAGGTTCTCCATCACTGAACTTTAGAAACTGGGTTAGGATATAGCTTGATTTTTTTTTTTTTAACCATTCTTTCTTAGTTTTTTAATTAATTATTTTTATTAACATATAATGCGTTATTTGCCTCAGGGGTACATGTCTGTGAATCGTCAGGCTTACACATTTCACAGCACTCGCCATAGCACATACCCTCCCCCGTGTCCTTAACGCAACCACCCTTACATACACCCTCTCCCCATAGCACCCTTAGTTTGTTTTGTGCCATTCTTTCTTATTTTTTAATGAAACAGTATAACTCTTTAGTTAGGAGTCTTTCAGTATCATATTTTTCTGTATTCTGTATAAGAACACTAGGGGGCGCCTGGGTGGCTCAGTCAGTTAAGTGCTTCCAGCTCACCTGTGGGATCAAGCCCCATGAACCCCCTGTAGGACTCCCTGCTCTTTGGACAGTCTGTTTCTCCTTCTCCCTTCACCCTGTGCTCATGTGCTTGCTCACGTGCACTCTATCTTGCAAATGAATAAATAAAATCTTAAAAAAAAACCCACTAGGGCTATAGGTTGGATTTCCAGTGCAGATACCCCCTGTGTTGGGGTACCCCAAGACAGCCCCCAGGTTTGGTGATTGGCTAGAAGGACTCACAGGACTCATCATGTAATTGTGCTCATGGTGAAGATTTATTACAAGAAAGGACACAAAAAACTGCAAAGGAAAGGGTACATGGAGCAAAGGCTGGAGGAAGCCAGGCACAAGCTTCCAAGAGACCTCTCTTCCATGGAGTTACTAGGACATGCTTAATTCCTCTAGCGATGAATTTTGACAAGAGTTAAATAGGTGTTTAGGAGGGAAGCTTATTAGAGACTTAGTGGCAATTGTTTTATCGGGTGCTGGTCATGTTGGTGCCCTCTGCCCTGCATATACCAAAATTTTCAGCCTCTGGAAAGGAGAACAGGTGTTCAGAACAAAGCACATTGCTTGTAGAAACATTTAGGAACAATAATCCACTCTTATCATTACAGAAAGTTTTCAGTCAGTCCTGGGAACTGTTTCCCAGTCATGTTTGCAGATGCCAGCCAAGGGCTGATCTTACAAGCAGGCCTTTCTAAAAATAGCAGTCTCAAGCCTGTCGTGTTCTCTCTTATTTCCGAGACTTTCTTATCGTTTATTTTCCAGTTCACTACTTTTTTTTTTTTTTTAAGATTTTACTTATTTATTTGACAGAGATCACAAGCAGGCAGAGAAGCAGGCAGAGAGAGAGGAGGAAGCAGACTCCCCACTGAGCAGAGAGCCCGATGTGGGGCTCGATCCCAGGACCCTGGGATCATGACCTGAGCCGAAGGCAGAGGCTTTGACCCACTGAGCCACCCAGGCACCCCCAGTGCACTACTTTTTTATCTGTTTTTTCTTAGATTCCATTTTGAGTTATTCCTTTTCATTTGTTTTTGAAAATATAACGACCCATTTGAAATTGTTTTTCTTTGGGTTTTTGTTTTTGTTTCATTTTGCTACTATGTCTAGGTCCCGAGTTGAATGAATCCTTTCTGCTTCTCTAACTCACTGGAGGGAAACACTTAAATTCACATAGCTTCTTCGAGTATAATGATATAGAATGGTGTGAACTATGTCCCTATACAGCTAAACAGATGTATTTTAAAAAAAATGCTTTCACCGAATTTTTCCTAGTGGCACGTTTCTAGTCCTGGTGAGCATAGTTGATAAAGAGTGAGGTTCTCTGTGAAGGGTTCCAGCTCTCCGCATTTTTTTGCATGGGGATTTAATGATAGCTTCTGCTTAGTTGAGTCTGGTGAGGAGCGCCAAACTTGGTTGCTCTTTCCCTTCCCTTAGCTACTTTTGGGCAGTTTATCCAGATTTGTCAGGGAAGGCGCAGATGTGCTGATGACCCCGTTCCTCTTTCCGGTGTGTCTGCTGTGAGCGGGACACTAACAAGATCTTCTCAGATTCTCGTTTCTCAACCTGAACCCCCAGTCCAGGTTCTAAGTAATAAATACTTGCTTAGGCCTCTGTGAGATTTTTCTTTTCAGAGACATTTATACCCTGTTGAGGAACTAGGTTTGATCCAAATTTCTGTGTCAGACAGTTATTCCTCCTTAGTGGAAATATAGCTGTTGGTCAGTTTTATTATAAATGGCATGCCCTTCTCAGATTGTTGTTTCTTTCTTCCTTTCTACAGACCTGAGAAAAAGAAATACACTCTCAGTCTTTTACTGATCTTTTACTGTAAACTCAATATCCTGTAATTATTTAAAATACCAAATAGAGGTTAAACTGTATTTGTAGATAATGAACTATTTTAAAAGTAATTTCTCACCATAAATTCTGGTT